ACTAACATTCATTTATGTTGTGATAAATGATGTGAAACCTGAGTCTACTGCTAATATTAGGTATTTTGGCATGTAGTGTCAGTTTCAACCAGAGGCATATCTGTCTCACTGTCTCCTGTTGGGGGACATGACCTTGGCAACGTACTCTTGCTCCCTTCGCCTTCGGTCAGTTTCAGTTTACTTCCGCTTGTAGTTAGGATTTATCTACACTTATGAAGTTGTACCATGGCCGGCAGATGTCTTAAAAGGTTATTTTTTTCACACAATGACATATGAGGCGAATATACAAGCAACCAATCTCACGGACGTTATGCAAATACCGTTCTTGTTTGGAGACATCAAATGCCATGGCATTTAAATCTGTAGTGTGCGTGTATATAACTCTATTTTGCCGAATTTGATGACAGCCACAAGTAACGTTACGCATTGTTAAGCTGACTATAATATGCCATTGCCTGCCGTTTTAGTCCTTTTTCTTCAACATTTGGAGCTATCGTATTTTACACATGGTTTCTTGCAAAATCAGTTTTTTGAGGTTTCTGAGACCGACGCAACGAGGGCTGGACTTGAAACTTTTTAAGACCACTTGATTGACCCATCCCGTCGTGCACATTACCCATGAAGGTACTGCAAACTCATGAACCTCCTTATCACAGGTGGGAGTAGTAGAGAGTAGAGAAGAGCCGAGGTGTTTGGAAATGATATTGATAATGTTGTGTTATTATTAGCATTAATTCTGCTGTGTTGAAGGTACCTAGCCCGTATAACTGAATATCTTTGCATAGCTCTTTGTGAAAACAAGCAGTATTTGCTATCTTTGTGCCTGCCAATGGGTCCTTTAACAAAATCTGCAGGTCTTGTGTCAATTTTTTCTTTTTTAGAGACATACCGTATGGTTTAGTTGCATTAAGGTTAATGAAACCATACGGTACCACAACAGATGTTGTTATTTGTGAATTGTCTTAAGACTGCGCTATATGGCGTCCTTCACGAAGTCACAATGAATGATGGGGACGATAAGATTTGGGGTTGGCATCATGGGATCAACGTCCCATGCAACTACTATAAAGGCAAATTTAGGACAGACTGAAAGTTCTTGCACTGTTAATGCGCTTATCGCTGTGGCTAGTGGGACCTAATTTAATGACTGTCGCCTTTCTCAAAACTTGGTCATTGGCGCAACATGTCTAAATACCATTCATTTGTTCTCACTACCAAACTTCAGGCATATGCTCTTGTTTGTTGCGTGTGATGTTACTTTGGTCGCATTACAGTCTTCTTGTTTCGTTCGTATGGCTTACAATTAACCTTTGGTTTCCCATTCCGAAGCAATTTTTTGAATAACGGTCTGTACCATATTGAAGCTCAAATCCAGTCCGAAGTGATGAAGTACTCACATTTGCTTCATCGTTTTATTACTAAACTTAAAAAACTGACCATTTTTCTTCCACAATAGTGACTACTTCTATCAACCGAAAGGAGCCAGTAGGTCGACTAAATGCGCTATAGCAGGAATTTGTGGCTAAATTATCCAGTAGCCATTCTCAATAAAGGTATTGTCACTAGCTTTTATTGTTTCTGTCCATTATTCAGTATAAAATAGGCCTTTTTAGTATGCCGGGAGAGCACACTCACGCCTCACTATTCGACCACAATTTCTGCTCTTAGTTGCTTCTTGACAACTTTATAGGCACGCGTCAATTAACAGTCTAAAACGGTATTTTTCATTTAAGTTGTATGCTATTCACGATTTGATTGATAGTGGAGAGTAGAGCAAAATCAAAATCTCTGCAGAAATTGAGAGCGATTTAGAAGCTTTTGACTGGCTGATAAATTCGAAGGACCTAGGTTACTACTATGACTTAAGGACCGAGCTCTCTTTCTACTGATTAAAAGGGTAATTTAATACATTGAATAGCATTTCGCGATTCATTAGTAGTCCTCATCAAATTGATGTCGCTGAATCTAGAGATGGAATTTTTTTAGACATACGCAGAGGGACAATATATGGTGGCTTTACAACGCAATTAGGTTGTTACTTTTGGACTACCCATCCAGACAGCAAGGTTGCTATTGGTTTACCTGCTAAAATAAGTGAGCTAGAACATCATGTTCTTTAGCGAAAGGTGAATCTGCGGCTCTCGGTCATCCTTTCAATTTAATTTGCTTTTGGGGGCAATAAGTGGGTGTCGATTTGCTTTATCAAACTCAGATCAGTTATGCATGTCTTGCTAAAGTGAGAATATCCGGAAAACAAAGTTGTTTACCTGTTTAACCTCAAGCTCAAAACATCACCAAATTCGTGCAATTATCACTGCGATATGGAGACAATGGGCACGGTTTAAGGGCTGTGGTCAAAATATCTCAATATCACATTGCCAATTTGCAATGTTTCTTTCCCGGAGTACTTTCTCACATTTGTTTTGTGTCGCTGAGTTATCTTATTTCTTAGTGAACCCATTGAAGGTAGGGGTGTTTTGTTTTCTTTGTTTTTGCAATTCTATATCGCCAACTGATCGTAAGTAGGTAGTGGTTGCCTAATTTTCAAGTAGTGTACTTAACGTTTGTTTCGCGTTTAATCAATCCTTTTCTTGGGCTTAAATTTTTTGGCTTCAAAGGTCAATTAGCATAACTCGTTTCTTCTATTAAGACTTTTGCTGGATTAATAGTTTATTAACATAAAGTAGCGTCTACTTTGGAAGGTAGCGTGCTGAAAATATTTATCGTCTTCCGTCCACTTTTGCCGAACCCTGTCTTTGACTGAACATCTATTCGTTTCCTCCCTCACTTTGATTTTGCCCTTGATTCCACCTGAAAAATCCTCATGGCGTTGAGCCCCCTGCACGAATGCAGGCGTGCTGAATCTGTTCGTAACTTTTAATTATTTCTCAAATCTCCTCGTAAGTCATGAGGAGTTAAGGTCCGTAGTCATTTTCAGTGGCTAAGGTCGTAATATGAGATTTTTTGCCTCCAGTGCAAAGCGATACCCTATTGGACTGCGTGGAGGTTTACATTTTGCCATCTATTCATACGGACGATTGGCTTTTTTGGCCAAATTTGATACTTTACTTTTGCATACGCACTTTTACTTATGGGTTGTTTTTCGAATGTTGAAATTCAGGTGTTCTTTTGGTAGAATTAAAGTCGTTATCAGCGCGAAACCGATAGTTGCCTTCTTGTGGCCTTAGCTCTCCAACAATGATGCATTAATCTGCTCGTGTTTTGAGGCGCCGCTTGTGATATTTTATTAATATTTTCATGAATCCTTTTGCTACTGCATTATCGGCCGACCTCTGGACTGCCGGCCATTTCAACTAAGGCAGACGGAAAACTAGGTCGCCTAAAGTAAAATACGGTGCTCTCACTTATTCGCAGCCTTTGACAAATCTTGGAAGCAAACAGGACGTTGGTACCGCCACATGGGAAGTGAGCCAATAAAAATGCATGAATGCCCGGAAGTAGCTGCGAAATGTTGAGGCTGGGGCTTTACCTCAGAGGTTATAAACGCCTTCAGCAAATACGCAATGTCCACGAGGGTTTCAGGAGATCTTAGTCGGCGTTCGCCATGGAATTTTCTGTGTAAACAGCTTATTCATCAGCACGTGATGCGAGTTGAGAAATTTTGAATGACACTCTGATTCTTGAGGGGCTTTTTTTATAATTTCGCATCTGTGGCGTCCGTCACAAACTACCGCTTCAACTTGGCATGAAAATAGAGGTTTCTGTTCTGCTCGAGGCACGAGGATGATGTTTTAATTTATGCTTTTGTGCGCAGTCAGAACTTCTTGATCCCGCTAAAGGTGATTTTGATCAAAAACTAGGCTATTTTGCGTTTTTGAAGTCGTCTTTCAGCTTGAAAACAGTTGACCAGTCGTTCTCACTGGTCTAATTGGCTAAGTATCGAGTCACTTTTTTGTAGGCGAAACTAGAGTAGTTAATTGACTGAGTAAGTGATGGCTTAGAAGCGTTAAGTTGCTGAAACTAGTTTTATGTATTTTGACGTGGAGAATGTGATCGGCGTCGCTTCTTACGAATGGTTTACGAATTCCATTTCGGGATCCAAGATTGTGTAAACAGGCAATAAGACGCTTCAAAAAGTTTGAACTAAAGGGTAGAAAATAGACATGTTTTGAGCATTTTGATGAGTTCTTTGAGATCTTTTGGATTTAGCAGATTTCTGGTAATAAAGTTGATTCAATTTACCATTAGTGGAAATTGGATTCTACTGAAATTACCTTAATCAAGCCTGTTGCTCGGTTTGCAGTCATGTCTTCATGGATTTAATGAGGCTTCCGCGTATATTGGCACTGTACAGTTTTAAATAGACTCTCGGTATGGCTAAAGATGCACTGAACTTTTCTTTCGTTGAGTACCAATGACACCGTGACCACGACATGCATGCGCTCTCAGTTTCGATCACTATTTCTGATACCTATATCTCGAGAAGGAGGGAATTACAATAAATCAACAGAGAAGTCTCAAAATAATGCTATGCAAGCAGTTGCGTTCCAAGTCCTAAGCTTTCTTGAGGATGGAGGTGAGTAAACTGCTTAAGCAGACTATTCATTGTCATATCGCAGTCCTCGACACTACTGACATAACTAAGAGCTCATGCAAGAAGGCCTTGCACTGCTAAATGGCTTAGTATGAGGGGTGTCCGGAGGCAGAGTGAAGCGGTTAACTCCCCTTTTTTATCGCTTGTCTGAATGATGGAATCCGATTAAATGGTTAAGCTATGATCTACCTTTGGCTACAGAAGTGTCTTGTACTCATGCATGCCTAAATCCAAATGTATTCGAGCTGTAATTCACTATCTTTCCAAAGTACTTGGCTTTTGGTAATACTGTGACTGCACTGCCCCTTCGAAGGGAGCAAACATGATTTGAATGTTCCTGGACCTTTCAAATTATATAACTATCTACGAAACGAATGGCGTTTTCTTGTACCTCCGTTTTTTGATAAAAATAGCGGATACTGGTTTCTAAAATTTAGTTCACTGTATGGGAAAATGGGTAGGCATTAACTTGTAGCCACTTTTTAAGCCATGACGTCAACAGCTAGCTTTGGCTGCAGTGTCATTTACTTAATCATATCATCACTTCCTTAGTTGGCAAAACAGACTTTCTTGGTATGGCCTTAAAATTTGCTTTTGTCTAAGTCCAAAAAACTTGCTTCCTTATAGAAAATGTCATCTTAAGTAGTACGGTCGTCTTTCGGAGTTTCTATTTAGAAGTTACATCCTGTTTCTGGTGCTCGAGTGTCACCATTGGAAGGCTCCATCTCATTGTGGTCGCACAGATCTTGAAACGGAATCAATACAGCTAAATTTATGTTTTAAAAGTCGAATTTGTTTGTTACAATTGCCTTCTACAACGATAAATTCGACGGTTGCTTCGTTATCTCTGTGATTACCTTCGAGATAGGTGTCCATGAAGATCTCACAACTCACCTTTGCCCACGAGATGGGTCACAATTTGGGAGCGAAGCACGATGACGACTTCAAGGAAGAAACACCTGCTTGTCTGCCCTCAGTAGACGATCCCAAAGGCAACTACATCATGTTCGCCAGTGCTACTGGTGGGGACAAGGAGAACAACAACAAGTTCTCGGTATGCTCTGTCAACTCCATCGCTCGTCTTCTTCATCAAGTCCTCAAGGTCAGAAATTCGGATTCTCTAAAGTTATCGTGACCTATTACATCACTTAACGTTACTACCACTTCGATGCCCTTTTTGATATGCACATCCACAGACTTAAATACCTCATTTTTGCATCTGGGGTTCTGCTTTAATTTAATATGACCGAAATTGAATACCTTTTGAAGCAGGTTTGCTTATCGCGCTCGATTTATTCTTGCATGTTGTATGGGATTGGATTCAGTGTCAGTGTGCAAAATGACAGGAGGTATCTTACTTTTTTGATAGCTTAGCATAGGGCTGGACCAAACAAACGTGGGATTTCTTCTATCCTATGTGAATTCACCAAAGTTACCATAGCTGGTTTCGTTATTTGGTATAAGTGTTTTTATCGTAACCTTATGTTACCTTCATAGATTTTTTTAGCGTGGGAGGCCAGAGAGGTCTAAGGTAATTCTATAAATGCATGGGCAGAATCACGATGTACATTTATTTGTCATTTCTTTTAGGGTGAATCAAACTGCTTCTTTACTTCCAATGGTTCTTTTTGTGGTAACCGATTAACAGAGGAAGGCGAACAGTGTGACTGTGGCTTTACCCAAGAAGACTGTGATGACGTCTGCTGCTATCCCAAGGACTCCAAGGAGCCCTGCAAACTGAAAAAGTTTGCCAATGTTGGCAACACCACCGTTAAGGTACATTTTCATTTCCCGCGGTCGGAACTCTTAACCAACGTAACTGGGATTTTGTGTAGGTTCGCTGCTCGCCGACCGCTGGTGAGTGTTGTACCTCGAGGTGTCAGTACCGAGACTCGAAGCATCTTTGTAGAAGCGCGGGTGAGTGTCACAAGGCTTCCTATTGCTCCGGCAACAGTGCCCAGTGTCCGCCTCCTGTAAACATTCCGGACGGAACTCCATGCATGGTTAGTGGTTCCCTTTTGACTTATTCCCCTTGCAATTTTGGCTTTGCTGGAATAACTGCGCCAACCTGATGTTGGGAATTTAATTTGCAGTCGGTTGCGTTACTTTCGGGCAGTAGTAACACTTCCTTAGCTCATCAAAAAAAGTGTATTAGACACTAGATTTTGACTGAAGTAGTCGCACATAAAAAGGCTTTTGCCATCTCATCCAAGGCTTAGGACGTAAATGCATGGAAAATACAATGAGACAGAGTATTTCAAACTACATGGAAGAAACATATACAAATAATGCATTAGACATGTCTTTATGGAATTTGGAACAAGGAAAATTTCTTTTGCTCCATCAACGCGCCTTGCTTCTACGTCTTCCAATAATCGTCATCCCCTAAAGGGCACGCAACGCTTAGTTTCGGCAGTAGTCGGCATGCCAGTTGGAGGCAGCCGCACGCAAAGGAGCAAGTGATTTTGGAACGATGAAGTACCTGCAATAAGAAATCGAACGATTTATTTTCATGATTGTTTATTTTTCCTCCTTTCTACCAGAACCATACGCGAATTTGCAAGTCGGGTGAGTGTCTGGGATCGGTATGCGAGCGCATACCTGGATGGCAGGAGTGCTCCCTGTCCCGTGGCGAGGACATCACGCCTGAGATGATGTGCTACGTAGCTTGTCGCAATATTCACAACGACACGCCCTGTATCAGTACTATCCAGCTAGAAACTGTAAGCGCTCTTAAAGTTTTCGTCCTTCAAACGTCACTTACACTTTCTAGTGTTTTTAAGCCGCAATAATGAATCATAACCGTTTTCTCTCAGCATTTTCTTTCCATTTTTTTAAATTAAGACTTCACGCTTGATTGTCATACCATCCATGATGACTGCTATCCCTCCTACCACAAGCAATGTTATTTTACGTCTAAAAAGCTGTCGCCTTTAACTTTTGCTTTTCTTGTTAATCAACCTCGCTGCGAAATACTCATTCCAGCTTCCAATGTCACTGCCGGTTGCATCTCAGGTGAAGTTAACATGACTTCATGTTCCCGTTTTTTTTGCTTTGAACAAAACTCCAATCAACTGTTTTCCTTTTTTATTGTTTATTAAGGTTCGATAGAACGACTGTGCGTTTCGCGGTTCCCCCTCCTCTGAATTGACTTTGAGACGTCAAGCGGCCTGAGATATGTCATGTTTTGTTTATGAAACAATGCAATGAGGTGCAGTTGTCTTGTGAATTTAATTTTTTTGGAAAACTCGGTGGCGTTTCCAACGCTCAAATTGGTTTATTGTTTTTACTCGGGTTTTTCGTAAAACCAATCCACTTCAGTCCAGAAAAGAGTAAATGTACTCTAAACTATTTCGAAGTGCTCTGTTAGTTATTTTCGTTACGATGGTCTTTTTTGGTCTTAGGTGGAACTGCGCCCTTCATTCCTCTTTTGCTCATTCAGTAAGGTTCGGTACAAATTTTTGTCACTTTTTTTCACTTATCAATGTGCTCAAGAGTATCCGCGCTTCTCTCTCAATTTCCACTGGCATCGTCGGCATCAATTTCATAAGCGAATTCGTCACAGCAACTCAGGTGATTCACCTGTTGCCCTTCTGGAACTCTCTTCATCTATAAAGAAGTGTTATTGTCCTTTTCAGCCTATGAACATTCACTGTGTATACCCTTCCGTTCCATACTCATTCGACTTTCTTCGAGCTGGCAATAGACACGCGTAACGTATTTGTAATGATACAATCGGGGAGTGTTCTAATGAAACGTGACTCGTTTGAGTTGTTCCAGTTACTTATTCAATTTATTTCTTTGTCTTCTTTGAAATTTTTGACAACTTAACTTTGGTGCAGATGGGATTGACTGCTCTGTCCAATTTGCATAATAATGAGCGAGCACTAGTTCGATCTCGACCACTATCCATACCATTTGCATCTTACTGTCAAGCTAGCTACTAGCTTGACAGTATTCCCAGGGACTTTATATTCTACTTAGTCATTTCGTATGCTGAAATTTATTCCAAATTTATTGTGCCCATAAATCTTTCAGGAAGAAGGCTTCAAAGGAAAAGGGAGAGACATATGGAATTCTTTGGACCATTAAGCATTAAGAGAAGCAAAGGCATGGGTGGACTAAGCACTACATTTGACATTCTCTGTTCGCATAGAACTTGAGCATCATTTATACAGCGGTTCTTTTTCTGTAACACGTCCTGATTTTTCGGTTGTTACGTAAAGTTGATGGTAAAGTATTTAATTAAGAACTCCAAATTTGCGTCATTCGTCGGTGCTGAGTTTTTTCAAAGTAAGCAGGATCGCATTCATCCCGGCAACTTCAATTCATCAACAAAGTCGAATGACCACTTCATTTCCATGCTATTCGTCGTACCTGCTCAGTTTTCCCAATGTGAACAAGCATATAGCGGCTTCTTGTTTGCAGTCATCTTGCAAAAATCCAGATTCTGTTACCAAAGTCTTTGTTAGTGGGTTTGAACAGTGTTCTTTCAGAGAAGTGCTTCTGAAGAAAATGAAGTCTTCCAACCAATTATTTTAGAAAAATGGGTTCACCAGTTATCCCGATATTTCAGTCGTTTTTGGGAGTTACCACAAGACAAGATTATATTTGGTTGTTGCGTGCGATGTGACAAGTCCTGCAGCATCATGAATGCATTTCACCGTTGCTTAATTCATGAAAATGGGAAATCTTCAGTTAAAATTGAATTTTAAATTTTTCGTCTTTTTAATACGTAGCCCTGCTGTTTATCAGAGAGGAGGGGGCATTTCCTTCAGTTGCTAACTCTTAGCACAGATGCAAATGTAGCACGGAAAAGCCGTTCTTAATTGAATTGAGACCATATTAAACCCTTTAAGTTCCTTTTCGACGGTGGGAGGTCTGTGGTTTTAACCTATCGTCAAAAAGCGTCATTTTAGTCATTCATTCTTACACTTTGTTCCATTTCTCGTTTTCCCTTTGAAAAGGTTGATGTGTTCATTCCCGGACGATTTGACGGCTTTGTTCATTTTGAGCTTCATAAGTAGATGTCATTGTAGTCATTTTACTGTCCAGAAGGTAGATTTCACAATCGTGAGGCTCAGCTTTCCACTTGGAAATGCCGTTGGTCAATTGACTGGTCGGCTTTAATGACAGTCAATCGTAGCTAATTTCGAATCTTGGTAAAGGGGTCTTCTATGTTGGCTATCACTAGCCTTATCAAAGTGGGATTTCGCCGTGCAGCGCCCTACCATTTTGAGCATTTGGTCACTTCTGCTGCAAATCAACTTTTCTTACTTTGCGAAACTCATCACTAAATCAGCTCCTGCTTCGAATTTCCATTATCTGTTGATGTCACCGATATCTACCTTCGCTTTACGCGGGGTTGGTGTGGTGCAGAAATTTGGACTTCAAATAATCTCTAATAACATGAGTCTTCTTCGGTCATTGTGATCGATTTGAATACGAAATTAACCATTCTATGGCGTCTATTTCATTCGATTCAGTTGGGTATGCTATCTTTTTCATGATGTATGGGTTTGTAAATTTAAATAGATTTTGAATGGTTGAAGATTGGCGCATCCATCACATTTGTATTCCTCCAAGACTTTTTTAAAGACAAGGGAACACACGGTATCGACGTATGGAAGACAGAGGGGTCTACTGACATGGTTTCGCCGCGTTAAATAGTCTCAACGCTGCCCTTGGTCAATCTCCCACCACAGCCGTCAAAAATGAAGTCATTGTTGCAAGATATTCACGAAACAACGATGTCTGATATCGTATTCCTGTGCACCTGTGAAAGCACCTTATTGCAACACCAATTTCTTTTTCCAGATTTGGAGCTGCATACTGTACAAAAAGGGCGCTATGAAAATGGAATATATGCAAGCCATCATGCGTACCCGCCGATGTTGGGAAAATTGCTAGCCTTAAATCAGTCTCATGACTAATTCTGTGATTGTAGGGAACTGAAAATGAGTTGAGTCGTTTCGCCTGCCATTCGTAGTTAACCTTTAATATGTGAAATGGAACTCAGTTTACTAGGCGGTTAGAGTTGGAACATTGGTAGCAATGGCGAATAAGTAGACTCACGTGTCTCTAGCATATAATTGGAATAAGTATCATTCGATCAGGCCCACATTGGATTGCTTAACGTTAGAATGATTTCAAGATGGAGGTGTAGAGTGATTGAGCAGTCCAGTTTAAATGTACTGGTCTAGCCCCATGAATTTGTCGGAAGGTGACACTTCGATAACCCTGTAAACGATGCAAACACGTTTCATGTATTGTCACGTAGCCTTTTTTAAGTACTTGGTGATGCTAACCATGTTGTCACTTCGTGGTCCTTTAGGACGAAAATCTACGCAAGGCCTATCCACGACTAGCGGCTGAGTTGTTACAACAACCTGGTGGACGAGCGGTGCGCCTCCAGCCAGGAACGCCCTGTGACAATTACCGCGGCTACTGTGATGTCTTCTTTGTCTGCCGCTCTGTAGAAGTGGAGGGGCCTCTGGCACGTCTCCACAAACTCCTCTTTTCGCCGCAAATGCTCAGTAAAGTTAAGACTTGGATAACAGTGAGTTCTGTATTGTTTTCTCAAATTATTTGTATACATTATGACTTGTTTCCTTCTAATTGGAGTGAGTAGTTGTTGTATGCAATACATTTCATTTGAGGTGGGTAGTCAAATTTTACCATGTAATTGTGATGCCAAGCCCTCAGTTTTGCCTAGTACTCTTTGTATTGTAGTTCACTAAAATAGGATCAGGCATCATATTGTCACATTGAAAACAATACTCGAAACGAAGCCTTTAACTAAGTGCAATTTTGTACGCGTTAGGAAGCCCCTTTTTTTCCTTTTGATGGAATGATTCCTTCACTTAATGAGTTGTGGCTTCTATTTATGGATTGTACCACCCATCGTAGGCAGTCTTACGAGAAATTGTCGGGGAGCCTTTGACCTTGTGAAACCAGACTGTTTTCTCAGCTATTGTAAATCTTCTATCAGCTCCTTAGCCATACCTGCGTCTTTCTTACTGTGAGGTCCTTTTAAAGAAGCAAGTTTCCTAACAGACTCTCCGCTTTCCAGGTAGGGTAGTTTAAGGTGCTTGCTTCGTTTCCATTCAATTTGTAAACTGTTTTTTCTCAAGCCTTCCCATAAACTGCTCTTTTTTATTCCTATGTTAATAATGTTCCCTATCTTAAAGTTTCGAGGTTGAGCAGGACTATTTTTGCTGTTCGATGCAGTATATTTGGTTCCGGTTTTCATGCCCCTTCCTACGGACATCTATTTGTCACTGTCACAGTATGCCGTTGACAAGCAAGTGATCGCACTAACGGAAATTCGTTTTCAATAACTGAATGATAATTGCTTTTGTGCTTGTTGGAATTGGGAGAAATGTCCTTAGAGCAGCAATTAATCGTACCGTTTGAGGGTACGTTCACTTTTGACTTGTGCGATGGTGTCGCATGTGGTTCTAATGGGCGTCTAAGTCGCTTTGTTATCACCACTCCCGTTTACTTTTGAGACAAAAATCCCCAAAAAAGTGCATTTACCTGTGGAAATTGGCGCTCAGTCTGGATGAAATTTTCCTAGAAACGGGAAGAATTTTATTGTGGTTTTTTATTATAGCGTTTGCATAAAATGCACTTTGCCCAAATCAACCTTATTATCTATTGCCCTTTGCTGCTCTTTGTACGGAACACCTTTCCACCTTTTGGAATTCGCAGAGACAATTGATAGTCCATTCGGAATCCTCAAGTCTTAAGTTTGCATGAGTCCATGAAATTGCATAGCCTTTGTTGTAGTGCAGCGAAGTGTTACTTCCGGCACATGGGATATCCATTAAAAAGTGAAATATTTTGCCACGTGAACCGAGGGTATAGCTTTTTGGGCACCTTTCAAGTCCCTTTTACGCAAAACAGTGGAAGTTCTAAAAAATCCATATGTGATGTTCAAGCAGATTTAGGATTGCCTCTTCTCCGACCTCTACATACTGTCTCATGGTTTCAGTTACTTATTTACGGCTCAAACACCTAAAGTTTCTACGCCTCAATTGGAATTTATTCCTCTTAACTTTATAACTGCCACACACCTACTTTTATTTGCCATCCTAGTAAAAGCGTTCTTACTGATATAAATCAAGTACGGGAGACATTTGAATAGGCTGTGGCGCGAGAATGTGAAGAACATCACGTGCGTCGCTTGTTTGGTGGAGTGTGGAGTTTAAAATATTGCCTTAGTGGTAAGCATTTGGATTAGTTTTTCTTTGGTCCTCTTTATCACTAAATTGCGGTCAGGCTATTACTATTCGAATCCTGTATAGAGAGTAGGGCTGTGAAGGGGATATCGCGTGCTCACGCAATTGACATTCTTATGGAGGCTGAGCGGCTATTTCTTTAACTACAGCTACAATCT